ATACAGCCCTGTACTTTACAAACCATTCGTAACGAACGATAAAATTAATTTCCGATATCAACACGTACACTCTACTTCATTATTCAATATGTTTTGTGCTCGAAGTGCAATACAGAATATATTGATAGTATTCTTACCATTTGTATCGCTTTATTTCTGGGGGGGGGCAAGCGGTAGCGTAGTTGTTTGAGGCACTATGCTATAAGCCGGAAGGTAGCGGGTTCAAGTCCCGATGAGGTCATCGGATTTTTTTCAATTTACCTAATCCTTCCAGCCGCACTATGGTCCTGGGGTCGACTCAGCCTCTAACAGAAATGAGTACCAAGTATATTCTTAGAATATTCTTGGGGGTAAAGGGCGGCCGGCACGTAGGGCTGATAACCTTACCGCCATCTTTGAGCCGATTGTCTAGAAAATCTGGGAGCCTAGACGTCTCACAACCCTATGGGCCTCCACAGTCTATTACAGTGCTTTACTTTACTTTTTATCGCTTTATTTCTAGTACAAGCGCACGTCACAAACGGAAAAGTCTGCTGGAAGTAACACACTTTATGGCAGTAATGATATAAATGTCAGTGAAGAAATACTTCACAGATAAACGTTCCCATTGCATACAACTTGTGTGGTGATTAAATCACTTAAATAATTCGCCAGTGCCAGGGTAACGAAGTACAAAAATTACAGTTTTGGGATAATGATTTTCAAGAGAAATGACCATCTTATTGGGGAAAAAGTGTATAAAGCTGTATGCCCATTAGTTTCTGAAGATCCGCCTTGTGCACAAGAATACAAACTGCCACTGTCAGTTTGTTCTCTCAGTAAACGGAGGCCATAAGTCACTTGTTCTTCTTGTCACAATCCATTCTGTCGAGGCAAAGAGATAAGAGTCTGCTTGGGCTCGTCGGCTCACACATTTCGCTGTTGGTGACTGCGTTGAGTCTCATGTCCTGTTAATAAAATTGGATTAAAGGTTTATGATAAATGTTTAAAAGACCATTTATGGCCTTGTGAGTCAATATAGCTGAAAATCTGGATTGCGTCCAGCATAATGAGTTATTTTTACTTTATAAAGAATGATTACAAACACTTTAATTATTCTTGTGTCCTATTTTTCTCTAATTTTGGTTCTAAAAAACTAAATAATGTGACATCACGCAGTTATTTCTATTAATAACTATCGTGGCGCCGCATGTTAAAAAGTCGTGTCATTCATTACGCTGCCTATATCGTTTACTGTAGTGTCCTTTTGGTTCATCTCTAACAGACCATGTGTGGTATATCTGTATACATAAAACGCTTACGTAATGTTTCCGCTCTGCGCCAGATGGAACGAGTTCGTGGGAATGCCGATAGAGACGCCACTTGCCGGTTCTATTACGAAAACTGCCGTGCGGGGTATAAATGCGAAGCAAATAACTACAGAAAACGGATAAGAGACTGTATCTCGGCAACGGTGTTCGTGTCAATGGGAGCAGGAAGAAAATTATCACATGGAAATAATCCGCACTTTTCCGGATATACGATCAGATTTACAATTTGGCCTCACCGCTATATCCAAATGAAGCCAATAAGCCAGGATATGAACAATTTTATATTTTAGATTCTGCTGAAGTAACAATAAAATGTCTTGAAAACCAGTTACACCAAGGGTGAGTGGTCGAAGAAATGCAAGATTCGACTAGATACGGTGGTAAGTTAACTCACTATAAACAAATGTATCTAATTGAATTTAATATACGAATAAATAAATAAAATTAATTTATTTTTAATTTAATAACTTGCTACAACGGCTATGTTATGCAGGGTACAGGTAGTTTTATTAGCCCACTTTCTTCATTTTGAAAAAAAATAAATAAAAGTAGGTTTATGGGATCACTTTGCTGTTTGCGTGTCCGTGAAACCAAGAACACCACAACAACTTCTGAATCCCTGAACCAATTTTTATGAAACTCGGTATGTATATCATGACACCTGAGCCCATCTCAACGGCACACTTCATAATCCCTTCCCATAATTCCGTGTATTTTTGTATCACTGGTATCATTGCTAGGCAAAGGCTCGGTAAAATGTATCCTTCTTTCCGTTGCTAAGCAACAGCTCGTAAAACACGAATAACTGTTGGACACCTGTATCTGTGTGTCTGTCTGTGTATCTCCGTACGGTTGCTAGATAACAACGCGGTAAAGACTTTCCGCTGCAACGAAGAACTGTTGAAGGTGTCGTTTTCTATGATGTTCGCGTCGTATCAAAGGAAAGTAAGCAAATTGTTCTTCCTAAAACTTCTTGTTTTTTATTATTTATCATTAATTTAGCTACCTACTAAGAGCGTCGTTGGAAAAATCATAAATAATGGAAATAAAATACACCATATACGGTCTCGTATCAACAATGAAGCAGGCAGGATGGGAGATACAGAGGAAGAAAATGATTTTCTAACATGTACGAGTATGTAACACAAATAAATTAACCGTGCTACTGCAGGCCACTGATGCTTGTTGTGGTGGAAAGTTCATTGGCGCATGTATTTCCGAAGAGCGGTTTCTGTGGGAGGTGGACAGAGGCGCAATCACGTATCACGGTGCTTAAAACAAACGAACCAAAAATTCCGAATTAATTACAAAAAAAAAACACGAGGTATAAAACGCCGAATGCTTCGAATGAATGGAGCAATTACAAGTTGTGTGTCCGGGGGAGGAGAAACGGTAACCGAAATATTTTGAGTGTGACTGTGGATTGTGGATTATACGCCCACATAAAATTTGAATCGCTGTTTAATACAGGTTACTCCACAAGGGAGAATATGCTGTATCCAGAACAAAGCAGTCAAAGGTACCATGAAGTCTTACGAGAGATTTAGCCAAACCTCGAAATAGGAAATGGTATAAGAGAAACTGTAACCAAGCATCATGTTCAACCTATAGGCCTATGTCCACCATTCAGTGAGGGAAATGTCACTATCAGCCCCCAGAAGAGCGCAGTCATACCAATAAATCAGGTCCGTTACAGAGGAAATTCAATTAACATAAGTTAGGTTATGTTGGTTTAAATTCAGTCTGTCTTGTTTGATGTGATTAACAAAAGCAAATAATTAGATGATATGAGTCGATTATAAAAGAAAAGATCGAGCTTCAATCTTTCCGCGGTACTTCTACAGACAAGATTTCTCGATTAGAAGCACTGGAGCTACTGGCAGGTAACTCGTATTTGGTTCTTGAGAAGATTTTAATGAAAAATACATGTCCTGTCATTTGTAAGCAGTAAAGTAACAACTATTCATACCTTTTCAATAACAGATGTTATGTTTATGTTGTCTTGGAGATGTGTAGCATATTAATAGAGTTTACATAGAAGGCATAAATAAACTCCGCGCAGAGGCGGATTCCAAGACCTCCACCGTACCCCTGTGAGTAGTGGGAGGTGACGAAAGGGGAACTCAGTGCCTGGGACTATAATCGGGCCACTCTGTTCCTGGGGGATATAAATGCGGGGACCTGGCCCTCCAGGTTGGGAAGGGGGTATCGAATCTGAGACAGTAAACTATGATCATGAATCTCACGGGACTCGGACCTGAGAATGACTGCGCTGGCGAGGATCAACAGCAATTATATATGATAAACACGTCCTCTCGTCAGGGAGGGTGCCCCACATTAACAAAGCCGCAAATGTCTGACAGTAACAAAAATCTGGTCTTGGGTCCCAGGTGGGTGCTTGACACCAAGAGAGACTGACCTACTGACCGTCGATCGTAATACAACTTTGAGTTTTGCTTAGAAGCCACCATGAAAAGGGGTTTAAAGGAAAAATAGTGAGTTACATCTTAGAACCTATATTGTGCCGAAATGCTTAATCCATTCACGAATATATATAAAGAGAAATAAGTAATTCTAAAAATATTTAAGAACTATTTCCTTGTTCACGTGGCATAATTATATCAACAGAAGTCCAAAAATGCGCTTAAAATATTTCTTCACGTGAGAGGATTCTCTGTTTGAGGTGAAAGATCAACTTGCTGAATATCCTTCTGATATAATTTTTTTTGCATATTAACGAGTATCAGGCTCATCTTTCTGCTCTGTACCCTCCTATAATGCTCAACGGGGGTTCGTGACATGAAATTGCCAAGGCAACGCATTAGAAAAATCATGGCTTAAACCATGCAATTACATAGGTCTGAAAAGTAAGGTAATATTTCCCCCACGTTAAGCACGACGTCCTGATGACGTATGGGGAACGGAAGCAATACTCCACGCATTCTAAATTTCTCTTCTGTATATAGGCGAACAGTCAACTTTAGCTGTTATAGCTCCTGGATAAGGGGATGGGTGGGAACATGTTTCTTTTGAACGTGGTGGCAAAAATAAAAATTTCTGCCTCTACCGGGAATTGAACCACCAGTCGTATAAAACTTAATGAACCAAGTATACTGAGTGGCTATGCCACATCTCGAGCAGTTAGTTTCGGGCTTCTAAACACGAAGACGCGGGTTCGGTCTCCGCCATATATCTTCATGGCCTAGTACTTAATTAAGCATAGGAACGACTTCATTTCATGAGATTGAAGACTTTCAAAGAGGTGAATGTGAAGAGAACAATTTTCTGGGATGTTCCATCGTACAGTCTGATAGAAGTTTACAGAAAATTCGGCAGAACATGCAACTTCCATCCGAGTAAGGAAGCAGCAAACTTACTCTGTTCTCTCCTTCCTTATGCGCTTTATTTATACCCTGCAGACAGAGGCAGTACATTGCTCCGAAACATTGTTTATCTTCTACTAAACTATACGGAGTAAAGTCCCAGAAATTAGCATTTCTTTGCTTCAACAGAAAGTTTATAAGAATGAGCTGATTTAATATTTTCTTTGTACGTCTAATGAATGGAAAATTCAACTGTCACATTGTATAAAATCAATCTGATCTCTCACTTAAGCCATAAATGCAATCTAAAAAGTTGGTAGAGGAAAGTGTGATCGCCACTAAGTGGATGAAAGCAATTACCACTCACCTGAATCTGACAGAAAATCTCGCCGTAAGGCCAACAGTGATAGAGCGCCGGCAGGAACCCAAATGGCGTCACAAACAGACCAATCGCGAGGTCGTTGCTTGCTAGTGACGTCAGTAAGTACCGAGGCTGGGAAACAAAAGAAGGGGATGAAATTAATTACCTTCTACTCTTTCTAGGTAATTATTTCAAAAGATATAGGAAAATGTGTAATTAATTATCCATAGATTAATGTTCATTTTTAATATGTTTGATTATGAATTCAGTATGATTAATTACTTAGGAGCAGAGGTTTAGAACAGGTTCTGTACGCTGACTCTGTAAATGCGGGCGTCTAAAGACCGAATAAATACAAGAATTGCAACGGAATAAACTAAAGAGAATTTCTTGAAATTTAGATGTTTATTAATTGAATATTCCTGCACAGGTGGCGTAGTTTTCACACTTACCACTAGGGGACAATTATATGTAACATTATAAAGTGGCATATAAATCAATTATGGAGGATCGGCGTTACGGACATTGCCCCTTTATTCTGTTTGCCGCCAATCTGATCTATTTTCTCTCTGCACTGGCTATTATTCTTTCCCAAGCAATCTAAATTTCCAGAAATGCTTCCTAAGATATGCGTGCTGCATTCATAGGAGCAGGGGTAGCGCACTCGGTACAGCAAGGGGCTACGGGCTGGACGGCCGAGGGGTCGGAGTTCAAGTGCCAGTAGATGTAAGATTTTTCTCCTCTCAATATCGTTCCGACCCGATCTGAGACCCACCCAGCCTCCTAGCCAACAGGTAACAGAGCTCTTTACCCCGGGGGTAAAGAGGTTAGGGACTGAAAATTACCACTCACCTTGAACCTAGTGCCGAGGTAAAGAATACGAGGGTCTATATACCCACTCCCCCATACGCCTTCATGGCGTAGTACTTAATTAGTTAAACACAGGGATAACTTTACCTTTTTTATTCATAATTCATTATGTGAATGCGGATTTCATTACGAACATTGTAATGAACTGTAATGTGTGCATGTTTTAGTCTTCAGCTTTAATATTATGAATAAACTGATGTAGTCAGAGATTGATATTCAAACAGATCCGTTAAGTATCCCCGGCGAGGCGGTGTAACAATGAAATTATCCGTAACTTCCTACTATGACAATTACGAATTTTGATCACCAACACGATTAAATATTTCATGCTTGTTGGTGTAGTGGTCAGAATTCCTGTCTACAGATCCAGAGGTACCAGGTTCGAATACCGGGGCTACCAGATTTCCTTGAGAAGTAGTGGGTTTGGAACGGGGTCCACTCAGCCTCGTGAGGATAATTAAGGAGCTATTTCAAGGAAATAGTGGATCCGTTACGCTGACCACATGACACTTTCTATCCGCAAAAGTTGGCACTAACTTCGCCGGCAAGCGGCAGTTGCTCGGTCGGTATAGTTTGCTTGAGGACTACAGGCCACGGGGTTTGTTTTGTTTCTTGTTTGGTGTAGCGACTTTCAGGACGTAGCCGGTTCGAGTTTTGGCTGGATTACCCACTAAGATTTTCCCTTGTCTCTCTCACAGATGTCCGGGCAATATCTTAAAATAGACTAATCTATCCTCTTCGTCTTTCTTTACCTATTCACCATTCATCGACACTATATAACCCGTGTGATTGGAACGGCATCATTAATAATATAAGAATCGATAAAAGACTGGGTGGCCCATACCTGAGAATGGATGTATTTGGAATATCTGCGGCTGTTGATGACGAGGACTAGCAGAAGATTGGCGCCAAGAATTCCTGCAGACAAGAGCAGGATGAAGAGTGCCTGTGTTATGTCCCATAAAGTGATGTTCACCTGACTTCCCGACAGGTAGCGCGGGTGAGAGCAGCTGCTGTTATGGAATGGTGGGGGCGTCAGCCACGTTGACTTCTGTTCCATCTTCACACCTCGACCATCCGAAGGAACTTCAATGTTCTGTCACTGACGTCACTAATTCCGCTACGTCATAATGGCAATCGTCTGATGAATTTTTAACATAAAATTATATTTCTTTACAGTTGTTTTCTCGGAAGACAGATTTAAGTATCTCATTATTCAGTATATCGTCAGTTCATATTATAATATAACTTCGTTAATAAGAATTAGGTTCTATCAAAAATTTCTGCATTCAGCGAAGTCTACACACTTCTTTTGATAAAATATACACAAAAGTTTACGCGTCACTGCACACCAAAATAATTCATTCTCTTAGATGCACTGATTTAAACACAGCAGAAGCACTTTCTGGTTTGCTACTACAAATTTTCATCAACGGAAACATTTAATTCAGTGACAAGGTCCGTCGAAACATTCTTTCGTCTTGATGGGAATTTATTACTTATCGTTTCTTGTCCGTGAACACATTAACAAATGAATCTAAACACAGAGTAGGGCTGCAACTCAGTCATACCAACCGTCGCCTTGCTGCCTCTCTTCCAGTTATAAAAGCTGCTAATGTTTTCTGAAAGGAGCATATAATTTAAATCAACTTTATGCGATAATTATCTCTAATAAATACTAGTATATTTAAATTGTAAGAGGAGAAAATATTAACATGATATATATAAATGATGAGCCATGATAGCGAGCCGACATAGCGACTGGCTACGGGCAGGGCGACTGAGGGGTCGGAGTTCGAGTTCCGGCATGGTAAAGAAATTTATCTTCTCCAAATCGTCAAGACCGGCTCTGGGGGTCACCTAACCTCCTATGCAAGCGGCCTCCGCAGTCTAGGGGTAACGTTCCCACCTCATGACTCAAGGTAAGCGGATTCAAACCCGGTGGAGGTTGTGGAATTTTTAAGGGCGGAAAAATACAGGGAACAAGTCGTCCGGGAGGGACTTTAAGCGGTTGGTCCCGTGTCATAGATTTACGGCACGTGAAAGATCCTCATGTCTCTAGGAGACCTCTGAGCAAAATTAGGTAAAGTTTCCGGCCCCAAGTAGTTTCCAATGCCTCTGGTAGATAGGGGGAAGTATCAGGTACCGAGGGCAGACCTCGTTGGCTGAACGGGGCTGATAGCACGCACCAGTACCGGTAGGGTATGGCGACTGGTAAAATATCAAAGAGGGACGTACAATAGACTATTAGGCGCGGTGCATGGGGAATCCCACCCCCTCTAATAATAATAATAAACCTCCTATGCACTGGATACCGGGGGCTCTTTCCCCGGGTGAAAGGCGGCAGGGGCGTGAAGCTGGGGCGTGAAGCTGACTATTCACCTCCAGCTAACGCCGAGATCAAGAGAATGTGGATCTATACATCCGCTCCTCCATACGCCTTCATGACGTGGTGCTTAATTACTTAATCACAGGGAACAACTTCAGAGGAGGTAGAAGAAACATGCATAATGAGGAGTTTCATAATTTATTCTTTTCATCAATTATCGTTAGGCTACAAGAACAAGGAGGAGAAGGGTAGAACATGTAGCACACATGGCGGGTTACAGAAATACAAATAAATATTTTAGTCAAAAGCATGGAAGGAAGACACCGCGTATATGGACGTTAATACTAAAACAAATCTTAAAGAAATAGAAAGTACAGGTGGAGTGGAACCGTCGGACTCAGGAGAGGGTCCAATAGTTGGCTCTTGTGAGAACGGCAATGAGCCTTCGGGTTTCATATAAAGCGGGGCAGTTGAACAACTGTAAGTTTCTCAAGGACTGTGTTGTTTCATGACGTTAGTTATATTGTAATTTCACATACAGTTGTCCGGGACAATTTTTGTAGCGTATGTTCCTACTCAGTGAACTAAAATATAACTGAGTGTGATTGAGGTTTACGCCAAAGATGAAAAAACGTTCTAATTCCAAAATTTTATGAAGTTATGTAGGTATCTATATTTACGAGCTGAGCCCTTCTGGAGGAGCCGCCAATTTTGCAGCTACTCAAGAATTTCCCAGCATTTTATGGAACCCGAAGGTTCATTATCGTGTTCACAGGAGCCCTCCACTGGTCCTTATACTGAGTCAGATCAATCCACTCCATAACATCCCATCCTATCTCCCTAAGATCCATTTTAATATTGTCCACCCACATACGCCTTGGCCTTCCCAGTGGTCTCTTTCTTCTGACTTTCCCACCAATATCCTATACACATTCCTCGTCTCCCCATTCGTGCTACGTGCCCTGCCCACCTCATCCTCCTTGACTTGATCATTCTAATTATACTTGGAGAAGAGTACAAGTTATGAAGCTCCTCATTATGCAGTTTTTTCCAACCTCCTGTCACTTCATCTCTCTTCGGTCCAAATACTCTCCTCAACACCCTGTCCTCAAACACCCTCAGTCTATGTTAGGTACCTACATATGTGTCCGAAAGTGGAAATTAGCATAAAACAGGAATCAAAAATTAAAACTGCAAACTAAATTTTGCTACACAAGGAAGGAAAAAACAATAAACACTAAAATTAAGAAACAACTGAATGTTTTCAATAGAAGTAATGAAATTGTAAAATCCATATCATTCAGAATTCCTGGGTTTTTTACTCTGTCCACTGTCCTGTATTCTAGAAGCTAGTGTTTTCTACCTTCTAAAAAGACACAGAAATTCTGAGTACTATACACCATTATCAGAACCCTTTAGAATCTGTTGGAAATATCACGTTTTACGAATGCATGATAGAGGAATCCAAAAGAAAATTTTAACGTTTAACCCGATAAGACGAAGAAAGGCAGGGAGCCCACGTTTAAGACGGGGGACAGACGACCTTTTAAAGAAGGCGGAACAGACCAAGCGTATGCTGATGGTCTATGTTCATTATCGTCCGCAGAGGACGCGGAGCATAATTTGTTTCGTTATTTCTGTGGAGCAGTACCACGTACAGCCAGTCAAGATCTGCTCGAAAGAAAGTCACGAATTGTTCCTGAAGGTTTGCCTGTTTTAGCGAATTTCATTAGTGGACTATCCGCTCGGCAAGTAAACAGAGAGAGACAGAGAGAGCCGGACGGAGATTGCAGGTCCTGCCATCTACTAGAGGACGACAAAGCTGCCTCTAAATCAATTTCGAAATTCGAAAAGTCGCACGAGCGAAAATTGGATTAGGATTCAGTCACCTTTCTAGTTCTATCAGAACAATCGAAAAGATTGTCACTTCCTTCTTTCTTTCGTTATCTTTTCTGTTTTGTGTGCTGTCCTTTCTCGTTTGCATCTACTTTTATCGTCATTCTTCAGTGTCACCGTACTTAATGGCATTATTATTTGAATGTCTCCAATCTTTTCTTATTTTAGCTCCCATTCTCAGTTTCGTTTAGATGTTTTCAGAAGAGTCTTTGAGGTTATTCCAATTTGCAGTTTTTCCTCATTTTGTGACCTGACAAATGATTACCAAGCATTTCAGACACACACTGTGGGCTATAATGCACCTTCACGCATGCCCACAAATTAAAGGATGCATGTGATAATTAAGAGGGGGCACACGGTAGCGTAGTTGGTTGAGGCACTATGCTACAAGCCGGAAGGTCACGGGTTCGAGTCCCAATGAGGCGAATTTTTTCAATTGACCTAATCCTTCCAGCCGCATTATGACCCTAGGGTCGACTCAGCCTCTAACAGAAATGAGTACCAGGAATCTTCCTGGAGGGTAAAGGGCAGCCGGCGCGTAAGGCTGACAACTTCACCGCCATCTGTGAACTGATTATCTAGAAAATGTGGGAGCCTCAACATCTCACAACCCTATGAGCCTGCAAGGCATGTTACAGGGATAGCTTTACCTTTATGTGATAATTAAGGAAGAATGAATATTTGCTAATAAGGAAAAACTTATCGTTTTGTTCTCACCCTCGTCCAGCAAACGATAAAACAACAGAGTCCTCTTTATATTACTGCTTTAAATGACACAGAGCCCTGATTAGGGGTTTCTCTTTCGATATCATGGGTTCATTTACATTCAGAAATAACTGAGAAATGATCAATAGTTTAGAAATTTAGTATGGCTTCTAGGCCGAGTGACCTACAAGGCATCCACCTTTAGAGTACAACCCAAGTGGACTCAGCACTCAAAATCCCTATACAGAAGCTGTCCAATTCTCTTTCCTTCATCACGTCAAGGCTGGCCCTAGGGCACTGTGAAAGTTTCCGTCGAAGATAAACCATCCACATCGTGAATATGACCACTCCCACCCAGTGTCCAAGTTAAGAATCTATCTATCTATCTATCTGCCCGTCTCGCTCTTTCCTGTTGCTACCACTTGGAGCATTGGGCATCCGTGAAACGCTCCGTGGACACCTTGGACGGGGGATCGGCCCATCGCTAGGCTACCTACACAAACACAGAACAAACGCAGACAAACATTCGTGCCTTGAGTGGGATTCGAACCCACGATCCCAGCGTTTGAGCGTGCTAAAGCATTTTATGCCTTAGACCACGTGGCCGCTGTGATCGACTCCAAGTTAAGACTACATGGAGTAAACCTCCACTCTCCCTTATCTTTTGATGGCGTGGTTAGACTTCGCAGCTGAGGCTGCACAAGCTGGATGTAAGGAGAGTCCTCTAGTTGAGAGGATGGGATACAGCTGACTTCTGGTGTTTATCTGGGGCTGAATGATAATTCCATCAAACCGGGCGACATCGGGAACACACGGCTGTGGTCTTTCCTTATTGATTCACTCATGTCCTGTTCAGCAACTGGGCAAGGACCTGATTCTCTGATTGAGTGGTAACGACGCAGCATGGTGAAGGGCACACTTAGGTATTGGCAGATAATGCCACTCTAACTGCCCCATAAAGTGATAGCAACTACGGGTACATGCCAGCCAAGCTCTTGATGATAGAAATGGTTGTTCACCGCCATGTTATGAAAATGCGAAAATGAGGCACGGTAAGATTGACACATGACGTAGGAAAGCAACGGATGTTCATTCATTTTAAAGTTGTAAGTTCATGGGAAGAAAGTATAAATACTGTGATTTATAGAAAAGCCGGGTCGAGAAATTTCCACTTTTTTTTTAAATTTGCATAGGGGGTTGGGGGTGGAGTCCAGCTGGGTCCACTCGGCACGGCGGCCACTGATTGGTCTATTGTACCTGCCCCGGGTGATTATGATAATGGAGAATTTGGTGGAATGAAGATTGGCAGGTGAAACCGAAGTACTCGGAGAAAACCTGCCTCAACGCCACTTCTTCCGCCACAAATCCCACTTGACCAGACCCGGACTCGAACCTGGGCCACCGCGGTGGCATGTGTTTCGGTGATGACGAAGAGGTAGAAACGGAGGTGCGGAATTGGCTCAGACAGAAGTCAAAATACTTCTATGTTGTGGGTTTCGACGCACTGGTAAAGCAATGGGACATGTGTATCAGTGTTGGTGGAAGATATACGGAGAAATTTATGTTTTTTCGAGGTTCGAATATCACATGATCTAGGTTTTATATCCATTTGTGATCCATTTACTGACTCTCCCTCGTATATGAATGGTAAGTTGGTCAATAGGGCTGAGGGTGTGCTACATGCCCTGCCCA